GGATATCGGTACTAAATGCACGAGCGACAAACAACAAAAAGATGTGTTATGTCTGGAGATGTTAGGTTAATGGTGTGCACAAAAGAATCCCCTGCAGGTCCCGGGCATCTGCATGTCCAAGTTCTGGTTACATGATTGCATATTCAAAAATAAATCAGACCTGGAATTCGTATGGGATTGATTTCAAAGGTGATGAGGCTTGTTATTTCCCAAAACTTTCCGAGTTAAATTTTATAGCTAATATTTATAGGGATTTATTCTTTTAAATGTATTAAATTTGACATAAAAAATATATTTTTAAAATCATTTGATCACATATAACACTAGTTTAATGTTATTAGTGTTATGTGGATTGAATAGAATATATAAAATTATTCTAAAAAATTATTTTAATGTAATGTCCCATGTTGTGAATCTATCAAAATATATAAAATCAAATATATATATATAAAATATTCACTAAATTTTATATTTTTTAATCAAAATTTTGTATTTAACTAATTCTTTCTTATAATTTTTATGGATTTTATATTAAAAAAACATGATTTGTTTTTTTTATCCATGAATTTTAGCTAAAAAATTGCTATAATCTAAACAAAAAAATTAATCTAAAATATAAAAAAGCATTTTAATATTTTTATTCATAATATTGTATTAAAAAATAAATTATTAAAAACATATCATTTTTTTTAGGCTGTGTGGGAAACTCTGAAAATAACAATTAAATTTCCATAATTTTTGCACAAAATTAAATAATAATAATAAAATATTAAAAAACGAAAAATTAAGAAAGAAAATAAAGAACCAAGCTAGGCATTCGTCCTTGTGTTGGAGAAGGAGAACAAGGCCCGCCCAGGCCAACCTTTTTTTAAAAAAATAATGCGATGTGTCGCTCGCTTTGTGTTCAGCAAACGACGCATGGTTCGACTTTAAATCTTAGTAAACTCAAGTTAGTTAAAAAATTCGCCTAAGTAAGAACCTCACAATTCATTTCAATGCCTATAAAAGACACAAAAATCCAAATGACATTAAAAAACTGAAAATATTTTAAAGTTTTGATTCGACTCTTCCAACTGTTTCATGATTTCAAATCACTATAATTTTTTTTTTCAAAGCAAACAAATTAAAGGTGAAATCAATAGTTAAAACCACTATAATGTACCTCGTTGTAACTCTCTCTCCTCCCGTCTTTGCCTTTGTTTCTCTCTAATCGCTACAGCCAAATATCAGACTGTGATATAAATGAAGTCTAAAAAAAAAACAATAATGTTTAGAAAAATTAAAGATTAAAATATAATATTCACAAAAACTTTTATATCATGTGCATGAAAATAATAATAATGTCACAGTACAGTAAAAAGCACATTACAATTGAGTAACAATCCACAATTAAATTAATTTTAATATACAACCGAAGGTACACTACAACATAATGTTTAGTGATTCTGTGTTAATTTTATTTGTAATATAATTACATCTGGATATTTCTTATCATTAAACTAAAAGGTAAAAACAAATATATCAAACCAACACCCCTCTCCGTGCTAGCCCATTCGTTTATGAAAATCGCTGGATGCCACATAAATGAAGAGAGAAACGAAAACAATGAATCTTCTGTCTAGCGTTTAGCCTTAGCTAGGACCACATGGTACTGTAATAGTAGGTACGGTAGCGGTAATACAGTGGGAACAATAAAAGCTCGTCTATTTGTGCAAAATGGCCCCCTCTCTTCAACTTAGAGAAATTAAAACAAGAGAAAAGAACTTAGCAATAGCATCTTTTTTTTATTTTCCTGTTGAATAGATGCAAAGGAAAAGAGAAAGGACAAAAACGATGGTAAGTGAAGACTAAAAGAGGGCGGGAGCAGAAAAAGAAAAGGCAGGGTAAAAACCCACTGCCTGAAAAAGGGTTCCGTTTTATGGTGGCTTGCATAATAGCCAGCTGAAGCGAGCGATAAGTATATCTGTGCATCAATTACAATCGAGGCCTGTTAAAACTCCCGGGCCCAATAACTTTCCAAAAGCGTAAAAGAATAGCAGAGGGAAAGGAGAATCATAACCTGGAAAGATGATTAAAGTTAAGCTTCAGATCCGGGAAAGCATTAGTGATATCGAGTTAGGGCAAATGAAACTATAGTTAAAACCTATAAATGATGCTAGCTTTTGGATCAAGTTAAAACTTTGGGCTAAAGACCTTTCTTATCACGAACCATTTGCTCAAATCCACCGATGATGTCACTAAGAGCATAGATTAAAGTCAGTCAAGGCCCTTGACCCATAACATTGGAACCTTCCTCTTCAAAGTTCAAACTTCAAACTTCAAACCCGAGGATATAAAAGTAGAGTATGGAATACTAAAGGGGCAGAACATATACTCTTTTATCTTGTTAAATTTTAAAAAACATTATACATATACTAAAAACTTACTAGGTTTCACTATAATTAAGCCTCTGCTATAGTAAAACCAAAATGATATCGTTTTGGGCTCTTTAGACCAAAAACGACGTCGTTTTCCAAAAAACCGTAAGTGATTTTTTTGTCAATTTTTTAGATTTTACACTTTGGTCTTCTAAATTATTATTTTATATAAAACAATTCCTAATTTAATTAATATTACAAAAACGGTCCCTAGAATATTTTTCGCTGGATTGGTTTTTTTTTCATGAATTATTATTTAATCAAAATAATTTTTTTTCGTGATTAATGATTACTTTTTCTATTTTTATAAATATTTATTAACTAAAATTAAATATTCTTCTAATATAAATTGATTAAACACCTCTTCTGATTTGATTTTTTCCAAATAAATAATTAATTACATGTATTTTTTATTTATCAAAATAAAAAAATTCCTACTATATATTTAAATTCAATTATATATATATATATATAACAATTTTTTTATAATGCATTAATTAATTATATATTTTATATTTATATTTTTAAATTATTTAAAATATTAAAATATAGATATAATATACTTATCCGTAGCAGCAACATCCAGGTGAGGGTGTTAGGCTGGTGTCAACTAAAATATCCTCGTCACCAGAAAATGCTAGGAGGAAACCAAAAATAAAGATTTGATTTTGACGTGGCTCCCAGATGCTACCGCAAAGCAAATCAGAGCAAAGATAGTTAACTTCGGGGAATAATGTTGATGCCGAACGTATAATATAGTACACATGCTATCAGTAGGCCGCCTCAATTATACGCTTCGAGCTAAAGAATGTATCTTCTCAAGGTCAATTCAATATTTCATTATTATCTCTTTGATGTTAGGTCCTTCCATTGAACTACTTCTTCTTCTTCTTCTTTACTTGATCTTACAAATTAGAAGTTTGTAATAACTAATTAAATCAGGATACCTACCTGTGCCAAATTTCACTTTTTTTCTTCACATGGGTTTTAATTCTCCAATCAATACCCTATTGACAATCAATTCCTCTATAGGCTCTTGGATTCAGACTTTCAGAAGGTTTGCCAACGGTTCTGCATACAGATCAGCTAATTGACAACCTTAACTACCTTGCTTCCTACTGCAGCTCTAGAATCTATAATTTCCATCAGCTGCTTCATGAAATTGCTGGCATTCATTTCTCTCTCTTTCCTTTCCTTTTCTGGATGCTTAGATGACAACGTACAGTAGATCGACTTCTTTATGAAAGAGAAAGATAGCAAAACTTTTGCCATCAACAAGCAGCAAAAACTAAAGGGGCTATGGCACCGGTAAAGTTGTGTTTAGAACCATGAGGATTTGGGCTTAAAAACTGCAAGCAGTCACTTCATTCACAGAAGCTTAAGGATAATATTGTTTCCAAACTCTCTTCCAGAACCCAATTTGGTGCTACCCTAATTGCTTTCTCCTGATATGACTGAAATGCTTGACCTTGGCATGTGTAAAAACTTATTGAGATAAAAAAGGTGCACTATACTGTTAAATAATAAAATAACAATTGCAAAATTGAAGATGAAAACAAAATATCGTATTGCTTAATTGCATTCAGAAATCTTCCCACACCATCTTTAAGTTGATTATTACCTTCATTATAATACTGCAAGGCTGCCCTTACCATAATACAATATGGATTTTGATAATTTACTTCTAAGATTCAATTTTCACACCCAAAAAATTGCCAATTTACTTTTAGGATTCAATTTTTGCACTCAAGAAATTGCAGGCAACATTATTGAAATTTCTTTTAGAGAATTTGAAATTTCTTCTAGAGAATTTCTCTTGAAGTTGTGGAGTTCTAGAAAGAGAAAATTTTTGATAGTAGGATTGCAGAAGAAAGAATAATGTTTTTGTCATGTGCAATACTTCTATTTATGGTTTGCTGGAATCTTTACTGTTGGATTGGAATCATTTCATAACAAACATGATTGTCGAAAAATTAATTTAATTAAATAACTAATTGTTAAATTCTAACCGTTACAATCCAACAATCATATTTCTTTGAAACTTAAAAACTATTTGTAAAAAATAATAATTAAAGATGTAATTAATTAATACAATTATGAATTTAATTAAATCACCAAATAAAAAATATGTGTTACGTGATAGTCTACACACACACATATATATATATATATGAAATTCTATCCACTTAGATTCTCTCAAAATCCTTTCAAATATTTAAAACCTTAAAAGAAGTCTACTTTATGAATTGCATCTCCTTTTCATTTATTTCCCATGTAGAATTAACATCTCACTGAAAAACAAACACTTTCAAACTATCTTTATCACACTTTACTTATTATCTATCAAAACCAAGATTTCCAACAAATACTACAAATTCTAACCTTTACTTATTATCTATCAAAACCAAGATTTCCAACAAATACTACAAATTCTAACCTTTATTATAAATTATCACACTTATCTTTGATGGTAAACGTTTCATTCGATCATCAACTTCCATGAAATATAAAGGAGCATTTTCAATGCACTAACCTTCGTGTCATATGGCAGCACCAAAGCACATTCTTCAATCAAACATACCACTACTCCTCCCTGGACCAGTTCCCACTCTTCCCACCAGTTTTACGCTCAAGCCGCACATATGTCATCTGAATTTCCTTAGAAGCAGCCTTGCACATATCATAAACAGTTAGGCCAGTAACCGTGACAGCGGTCATTGCCTCCATCTCAACCCCAGTTTTCCCAGACGAAGCAGCTTCCCCTTCAATTTTGACACTGTGGTCATCCGGATTCAGCACTAGATCAACACGAACATGGTTTAGCATGATATTGTGGCATAATGGGATAAGGGTGCTAGTATGCTTTGCTCCATTTATGCCAGCAATTTTGGCCACAGTGAGGACATCGCCTTTGGCCATTTGATTTGCTAAGACCATGTCAAACACCTTCTTGCCAAGAATTACTTTGCAACTAGCAACAGCAGTTCTATTAGTGTTTTCTTTTGGAGACACATCCACCATTTGGGCTTCTCCTGCACTTCCAATGTGGGTTAGCCCAGCAGGGTTTTGATTCATTTTTTGAGTTGCAGATTGGGATTCTTGAGACCTACTAAAACTTTCACTATTAGAACTGGCGAGTCCATGTGGTTTTAAAGGGGATTCTTCAACCGCAAGATTGCAATTGATAGAACCAGCAAGTTCACTTGGAGGGCATTCACCAAAGACTGATTCCATTTCCTAAAACAAGCATTGGTGCATAAGAAAAAAAGAATCCGCAGCAAAAGTAATCAGTAATATCTCTTGAGAGAGAGTGAGATTAATATTGAAATGAATTAACTATTTTTATCTTGATTAGTGAAGATTTTCATCATCAAATGAACAGAGTAGGTGCTCAACCTACTACAAGAGCATTACAGAAGGATATAAATCCTGAAAAACTGGGACAAAAGATGATTTACGCTTGACAGATTAACAAAAAAATTCCAGAATATATCGTAACAGAAACTTTACCTTATTCATTTCTGCAATGAAACTTGAAATATCATAAGTTCTGTTAGTACTAAACAACCTTCTCGACTGGGGCAATGCCACTGCAGCTCGCCGAAGAAACATGACAAACAGAGCCCAATTTTGGTCCTCCTGTTGCCAGGGAACAGAAAAAACACTCAAACTTTGCTCGGTCAGAATATCATTAAAATTATTTGAAACAAAATAAAAACCAAAAAAGAAGAAAAAACTCAATATTTATCTAACAGAATTACTAGATCAGTTGACGCAATTTTTCAACTATAAAGTCACGTAAAAGCCAAACAAACACGCTGAACAGGGGTCTCGTTCAGGCATTTGTGCAAACAGATGGCAGGCATTAAGCTTTTGTAAGACAAACAGAGTTGTAAGAGGATCTAGTTGTGTTTCATACCTTTGAAGAACGATGGTTTGCGCAGGTTGTTTGAGTCCTGAGGTTGATAAGAAACAAACCAACTCTTTCTTGATTGATGTCAGGGGTCCACTGTAGCTTTGTTTTGGTAGTTTTGTCAAAATTCTATTTCTTTTAATCAAATGCGATCAAATTTCAGGGCCAAGTCGGCTCGCCATTGCTTTTAATTACAAGGTCAAAAAAAAAAAAAAAAAAACATTTATCAAATCAGATACGGCTATTTTACTATTTCGGCTCCATTCTAAAAATAAAGAAAGAAAAAAGAAAAAAGAAAAAGGAGCTGCAGTTTTACAAGCCACGTAGTTTGTAACTTAAGTAGTTATCCTAAAACAGTGAAGTTAAAAGTACATGTAGGAGTCATTACATCCATATCTTTTATTTTAAATTAATTTTTTTATTCATGCTACGCTCTGAATTAAACAAAAAATATAAAATAATTTTTTAAAAATTATTTTATTTTAATATTCAGTGTTATATTATCCTTCTATTAAAATATATCAAATTAAAATTAGATAAAAATTCATTCAATTTTATAATTTTTTACCAAAATTTTATATTTTTATAAATTTTTTATTGAAAAACATTATTTATTTATCTCTATCCACATTTTTAGTTATAAATTTATTTTGTATTCTTTTCTAAACATTTTTTGTCTTAAAATTTTTAATTAAAAAAATTAAAAAAGAAGAAGCAACGATCAAAATGAAACTAAAAAGTAGGACCAAGATTAAATAAAAAATATTTACGAAGTAAAAAAATAATATTTAAAAAAGATTGATTACACTATAATGTCACAAAAATTTTCGTAATAAATATCTTAAAAATATTTTAAAACTATAAAAATATCATTATATAATGAAAAGAATAACGCATTTAAGTTTATGTAAATAGTATGAATGAACCTAGATGAAAAATGTAGTAAACAGTAACCAATAGTTTTAATTTTTTTTTTTTTTTGTAAGGTGGAAAAAAAACAAAAGAAAAAGGAGAGGAAAGAACTGTAGTTTTACAAGCTAATTAGTTCGTAGCTTAAGTGGTTTCTATTTTATTAATAGCAGGAGTGAACGTGGAAGTGATTGTGATCTTTTATAAACTGTGGAAGTGATTATCTTATTTTATTAAGTGTGTTAGTGGTGGTGAGAGTGATTATATCACCCACTTTTATTTTAAATGTAAGAGTGGATGTGAAAATGATTATCTTACAGTCTATATATAAAAACACTTGTAATTCAGCCATACAATAAAACAAAATACAATTTACAGTTTTTATTATATCTGAAGAGGAGTGTCAAAAGCAGAGCCAATATTAGCTTAGTCAGCGCATTGGTTTCCCTCTCGAAGAAAATGAGTGATTTCGCAATGCCCGAATGTTGGACGAATAGCTTGAATATCAAGAATCAGGGAAAGATATGGATGAGAGAGAGGGATTATATCGGAAATACATCGAATTATAGCTTCTAAGGAGTCGGATTCCGCCACCAAGGGAGGCTATTGCATGCTTCTAATCAAGAGAAGACCTTGCTTAATGGCCCACAACTCTGCTGCCATGTTAGTAGCAAATAGCAATACCTATAGACCCGGAAAACCCTTCAATCCAACTAAAGAATTAACTACATAATTAAGCAAGCACTTAAATTAGGTCATTGGTCTAGCTCAAACAACTAAATGAATAGGCTCATGAGCCTAAACAAGTTGGATTAAACAAGCTTAAGAACCATTGGCAAAACGAGTTTTAAAATCAAGTTAAGCCGTGTTCGATGATTTCATTGCTGGTGATTTTTAAATGACCATAAAAAGGGCTAGCACATCTATATAACTCATTGTTTCAACTAGCCGTGCATCCTTTACATGGAACTCTGCTTTAGCATTTCTGAAGAGACTAAAACACACACACACACACACAATTCCCAACTTAATAGCACCATGACGGTCACAATGTAATAGCATACAAGTCTTCAGTCAGGAGTACATATGCTCTGCTAAGCGTGGCCTAGCCATAGACAACAAGGGCTTAGCCTTGGGCATGGTCATGCCATAAACCTCAGCAGTATCGATATCTTCGGGCCTTAGCCCCTCTGGTGGGGTCCAATCAAAACAATGAAAGAGTCGAGCCAAAGCCATGAGCACCAGAGTCACACCAAGTGGCGCGCCAGGGCATTTCCTTTTACCAGCACTGAAGGGCAGTATCTTAAAATCGGCTCCATGGCTTATCTCCACTCGGCTCCCGTCAGCCAGCCAATGTCTTTCGGGACGAAACTCCTCAACATCGGCCCAAATTTTAGTATTTCTGCCCAGCCCATGAGTGTTGATAAAGACCCGGGTTTTGGCAGGGATATGGTAGCCATTGATTGTGGTGGCACGTAAGGACTCATGTGGGATAAGCAAAGGCCCAGCTGGGTGCATGCGGAATGTCTCTCGTACAACGCAACGTAGGTAGTTAAGGTGAGGCAAGTCAGATTCCGCGACCATTCGATTGGGACCCACGACTGAATCAAGCTCTTCTTGTATTTTACGAAGGACACGTGGATGCTTGATCACCTCTGCCATTGCCCATTCATTGGTTACAGCTGAAGTGTCTGTAGCAGCAGCTATCATATCCTAATGTCATGTACCACAAAACCAGAGTGTTCTAAAATGTTAGCGGAAGTGGTTTCAAATATATATATATATATAGAAAGAAATTGAAAAAAAAAATCATGAAAATGAGTATTGTAATGATCATTTTGAGAGATGTGATCATTACCTGAATTAGAGCTTTGATCTCTACATCATCCATGTGTTCTTTTCCATTCTCACCAGGCAGTGACAGTAAAACATCAACAAAGTCCATATCTTTAACTTCCACTCTGGTTTCCTTTCCTTTTACTTGTCTCTTCTTTCTATGTCCTTCGATAATTTTATTGTGAAAATCATCCACTCTTTTCTCCACTTCCCTCATTTTCTTTTCACAACCATAAGGGTCAATCCACCTCCAAAATGGTAAATAATCACCTAGATATATCACCCCCAGAAGCCAAAACAACTCATGTGTTATATGCATGAATTCCATGGCCTCTTGCGGGCCTGCTGATTCTGCACCAAAATACTGCTTACCTAGCAACATCCTAGTCACATTGTTCATGGAAAATGCACCGAGCACTTCCCTCAAGTTCACAGGTTTTCCTGTTTGGGCCAGGGCCCAAACATCTTGGACCAGATGTTGGGCTTCATCGGCACGGTGATTTGCAAAAGACTCGAGCCTCTTTGTGGTTAATAATTGCTCCATGCAAATCCTCCTCATTCGCTTCCAACGTGGGCCTAACGGGGCCAGTGCCACATCTCCACACCCATAAGCTAGGTGGACTGCTGCGAGAGTTCTTGGTCGGGAGGCGAAAACTTCATCTTGTCGGACGAGTATTTCGCGTATGATTTCAGGATCATTGGTGGTGATGGCATCAACTCTGCCAAGTCGGAGGTAGACTAATGGCCCATATTTATCACACAAGGAAGCTAAGTCCCGATGAGGCTGTTGGCCCAGCTGAAGAAGGTTGCCGAATACAGGCAATCTTGGTGGGCCTGGAGGCAGCCTTTTGGATTTGTGCCGTGACTTCAAGTTTCCCCATTGTAGTACGACGTTGGCAACTATAGCCACAAAGAGAAGGATTGAACAGAAGGTGGCAAGAAGGTCCATGAGTAGCCTGATTTGTTTAGCCAGGGAAACTAATTTTCGCAAGATTTTACCTATGACCACATGGGGTATCTAATAAAAGCCCATTAAACTTTTAGAGGAGAAATTATAGCTTGTTGACCTCTATATATAAGATTGAAAACATGAAGCTTGAGCTTAAAAATCTAAAAATTTGGTGAATAGAGATTAAAAAACGACTTACTATTCCCCACAGTCTTTATACGAAGTGTTAATTAGATTTCTAAATTTGAGCATTTAATTTTTTATGATAGGCACAGTATGGGTGATGATCTTTATGGCATCCCACTTCAAAGCAATAACATTTGCATGACCCTCGAATTTCATACCTAGAACCATTGACAGTAGACTTTGCATGAGCCCCCTGATCAGGCAAAGAAGTTGGACTAGTTTAGATCAGAATTAGTTAAATCTTTAAATCAGCCCAATGGGTCAACGATTCACGACCCTCTTCTTTTTGCAATTTTGTAGCTGGCCCATCCGAATCATCAACTTTAATCTAACAAGTCAACTGAAGATTTTTTTTTTTTTAACAAATCCTTTTTTAACTTAAGATTAACTAAAATTTCCTTGAATGATATAAGAAAAAAGTCATCTGTCAAAAGGACAGAATAAACAACTTGAACAGCGAAAAAAAATTGATCCTATTGTTGTTAAGTGTAAAGAGTCGAAACTGTTCTGGAAGTTAAATGGTTCCATGGTCTAGTGGTCAGGACATTGGACTCTGAATCCAGTAACCCGAGTTCAAATCTCGGTGGAACCTCTTTTTCATTTTTTTCTCAACCTCAAAACAAAATCAATGTTGCTTTCCCGTGTGCGTGATTCTTCAATGCCTAATAATTATTTACTTCTCAATAAAAACGCAACTCTCTCTCCGTCCCCAAATTTCTCTTCTGTTTTTTCCCTCTCAAAAAGATGGACCTAGAATTTCAGCGGAAAATCCAGGAAACAGTAATCGACATCCTAAAACACGCTAACATGGACGAAATCACAGAGTTCAAAGTCCGAGTCACCGCTACTGAGCGACTCGGCATCGATTTGTCCCATATAGAGCACAAGAAATTTATAAGAGGCGTTCTCGAGTCCTATTTGCTCTCTACCATGGGCGAGGAAGGTAAAGATGCCAATGGAAACGTAGGAGAAGAGACTAAGGAAGCACTGCAAGAAGAACATGAGGAGGTATTGACTAAGAAGGAGGTTGATAGTGATGGTAATCGCGTTATTTGTAAGGTAAAAACCACAATTTTCTTTTTGGTTGCTGAGAAAATGGGAAAATTAAAACGAGAAATTTTTTTTTTTTTAATTTAGTTATCAGAGAGAAGGAGTGTGACGATTCAAGAATTTAAAGGGAAATCATTGGTGTCGATAAGGGACTTTTATCAGAAAGATGGAAAGCTGCTTCCTTCTAAAATAGGTGATAAAAAATGCTCGCATCAGTCAACTTTTAGTCATTCATTATTATTTTAGGTTTGCCTTAATTATATTTGACTAGCTGTTTGAGGTCTTGTGTTTTTTGAGGATTTTAACGCCTGTAAGAGAAAAGGAGCAGTGGTGCATGGATTAGGTTTTGTGTGAGCCTGATACAACCAGTCAATACTATTGCTGGGATAGGGATTTTTTTTTTTTTTAAGATCCTTATGCCAAAAAAAAAAAAAAAAAAAAAAAAAGAAGAAGAAGAAGAAAGAAAGAAAGAAAGAAAAAGAAAAAGAAAAAAAGAAAAGCTTTTAAAAGGCTACTTTCACTTGCTTAAAAGCGCCTAGTTAGCACTGATGCAAATACGTTGATATGCAAATATGTTTTCAAGTTTTCAATCATTTTACTTTTGATCTTGCACCGATTTGCATTTGTGTTGAAAGGGTTTGTCTCTACTGCTGTATTTTTCAGGAATTTGCTTGACATCTGAACAATGGTCAGCCATCAAGGAAAATGTGCCTGCAATAGAGGAAACCATTACGAAGATGCAATCAAAGTTAAGGTGAGAGGAGTGTCATAATACTTGACCTTGTCAGTTTTCAGTGGTGTTGTGACGTTTATTGTATGCTTTAATAAAGTTATACAATTGTTTCCCTAAAGAATCGAAATGGCATGATTTTCTGCACTTGATTAGCAAGTGGAATAAAGTGGTCCATGTTTCTCTACATTTACTTTTAATTATTGTCTGTCATACCTTGCTGAATCCTCAAATACGATGCTTTGTCAGAAAGCATGAAGCTGAATGATGTGTTCAACTTACTTCTGTTCTGAGCCTCTTTTTTTTTTTTTTTTTACCCCTCACCGAATTCAGCTCTGACCTTGATGTTGAACAAAATGGGCGAATCTCTAAACCAGTAGCTGATTCTGTTTCTCAAGAACTTCTCATTGAGATTGCTCGTATTGAGGTCAACCGTTTTGATGGGAAGAATTATCAGTGCTGGGCACCTCAGATGGAATTTTTTTGAAGCAATTAAAGATCGCATATGTGCTCACTGACCATTGCCCAAGTGTTGCTACAAGCCCACAAGCAAGTGCTGAAGAAATTGCTCAAGCCAAAGCTACTGAGCAGAAGTGGCACAATGATGACTATCTGTGTCGCCACAACATTTTGAACTCTCTATCTGATTCTATTTATTATAAATATGCAAAGAAGATTAAGACTGCTAAAGAACTATGGGAAGAACTAAAATTGGTTTATCAATATGAGGAGTTTGGAACAAAGAGATCTCAAGTTAAAAGGTACATTGAATTTCAAATGGTTGATGAAAAATCGATTGTTGACCAACTTCAGGAACTAAATGGCATTGCAGATGCAATTGTTGCTGCAGGAATGTTTATTGATGAGAACTTTCATGTTAGTGCTGTCATTTCCAAGCTTCCCCCGTCTTGGAAGGACTTCTGCATGAAGTTGATGCGTGAGGATTATATACCTTTCTGGGTATTAATGGACCGTGTGAGGGTCGAGGAAGAGTCTCACAACCAAGATAAGCAAGGGGAGCCTTCCAATCTGGTATATTCACATCATCCCAAGTATCTTGGACCGAGGATGAGAGATATGAAGAAGCCAGGGTTGCACTGGAAGAGACGAGATATGGAGATAGATAATAACAAGTCCTCCGCATGCTACTTCTGTGGGAAGAAGGGGCACATTTCTAAACACTGTCCTGATAAAAAGTTCGACAGGGGAGCTACTGAGAAGCATGACAAGGAGAATTCATCTACACATGCAGTTACAGAGGTGAGTATAGAGCACTGCAGTAACTAATTCTTGTGGATCCTGATAGTTTAATTGTACTGAGGAAGATTGTTTCCAACTCGGTGGGTACAGATGGAACTGTGCCATTGTGAGGCTAAGTTTTTCTTGGGGAACCTTGGACTGTTTTTTCAGGTGTTCATCCAATGAGGTCCTGCATTACATTGGAAAATACTTCTGGTTCCCCTGCAACAGCAGAATCAAGCCTCTCTTTGCTCCCCTTCAACAACCCATCTTTGTAGAACCGAAGTTGAATTCCTTTAGTAAAGTTCACTAATTTTCAAGCTAGTAGACGTGTTGTAGCTTTATTTGCTCTCACTTCACATCTTTTAAGGTCTCTGACCTTTTTTTCTCCTAAAATTGCCTCAATTGGGCCTAATGTAGTTTTAGTATTCTTTGAAGAGCTATACTTATGGCCTGTTTTTCTTCCTCGCGTGAATTGAGATATGGTTTTAAGAGAAGGAACATCATGACTCTTTAGTTAGTCGAGTACATTAACGGAAAAGTAATTCTACTTTTCTTGTTGTGGACTTGAATGGTTGATAAATTTATATGAAGAACCTTCTCCCAGAACCCCGTCACTTGCATGAACAGACTACCATTTTGACACAAGGTTGATGAAGTTTTGCCCATCTATTGCTTGTCCATAGCTAAAAAGCAAAGTGGAATGGTTACTTTCAACTGAGTTTACTGGTTACTGAACAATCAGGAGAAAAAAATTGCACACGATATCGCACTTATAACAGGCTAAATCCATCAAAATCTTGGCACACTGAGCATTCAGTCAGAACAACTACAGATCATTTCATGTAAACCATTTTGTTGAAGACTGATTCTCCAACCTTCGCCACTGATGGAATCAGTAACTACCACAATCAACTTGCATCAATTGGAAGAATTATGATATGAGAAAAAAGGAAATCTGTGCAGAAAAAGACCCGAAGAATTGAGAAAATTTATAGACGTTTTTCTTTTTAATGAAAACAAAGAATCATAGAGACGCATCAAGCTTCAGAGAGATGCATTCGCCGAGGTGAAGTATATCGGTCCCCTCTGCACTGTCGTTTCTTTTCCATATCGTGCCAAAAAAATAAAAATAAAAATCTGCATTTAATTATACTTTCCTTAGTTGCACTCTGCTCCCAAAACTTCCCCAAAAGTTCTTCTTTAACTGACCACAACAAAACAGTTTACAATTTCTTGCTGACAAAAGCACGAGTTGCAACAACACCATCGGCAGACTCTCTAACTCGAACATTCTATAAGCATCAGAGAAAATTCTAGTTGCTTGAGTTCTCCATTTATCCTGCATGCATCCGAAAAGCCGATTCAAGAGGTAACTTCAATACTCATAAAGATTACAAGTTTCAAAATGCATCTTGATTAGCACATTCAGAACTAAGAACTTGAATAGAATTGCATATTGGAATCAAAATCATGTATCAAGCAGCAGCTGCAGCCTACAAACGGAGATTGTGACAAAATGATAGTGAAGTCGCAATGACCGTAAATCCATAAGATGCTTGAGGACAACGCACAGATTTACATTGTTTTTAGCTTCTAAATTGGCTATGCCAGAATGAAATGCAAGCAACGATGAATAATACCAATGTAGTAGTGCCCTTTCCGTCATGAATATCAGTGGTTCATTCATGCTACAATATCTTCAACATCGTACCTGAATTTTATGAGCTTAAACTTTCTGCTGCAGTATACCTCATGCTTGCAGTTTGCCTGAAGAGACAGCCCTAGCTTTATCCAACAACTGTTGTTCTCTTAGCATATCCTGCTCAATATGATGCTGTTGCCATCTCAACTTCCTGATCCCATCTTCGATTTGACTATAATTAGAAAATAAATCAGGTCTGCTAGAGATTACTGGGAATTTAACCTCGAAATTTTCCCTGAAAACGGATGGATTTTACAATAAGAAAGTAAAAATCAGAAAACAACATAGCAAGAACAGTTACGAATTAACGACTCCTCAAGTGCGGCAACTATTATAATAAGCCCAATCTCTCTCTCACACAATATATATCAATGACAAATGGCTTTAAAGGTAATCCCATACTTACCTACTGCCGAGCACAAAGAGACCATTTTTCTTGATCATCCCACCATCTAAAGACAGGGCTCCGTGAGTTATGCATGGGAGAGCAGAAAGCATGTCAGTTCTAGTATTGTATACTTGCAGGTAAGAAAATAGGTTATAGAATAGTGTCTCTCTGAGACCATGTCCACTGGCAGTAACACAAAACAAGTTCCGATCATCCAAAATTACCATGTTCACTGCAAAGTCAATAAATCCAGAAGGACACTTCCCATTTAGTAACTTCGGCTTTAAAAGAGCAAGTTTCTTTTGCGGATCATTGGCCATGAAACCACCAGTATTCGGCCTGTTAACAAGCTTTAGTCAACATCTCCATAAGCAATAAGTTCTACATGAACATTACCAAAAAAGAACTATACATAAGTTCTATAGAAATAAAGACAATAAGTGGGGTTTGTGCCTCAAATCTTCAACGCAAATGGCAGTAAATCGACCGTCTATTTTCCTCCCAATTGAAGACCCAAGACCATGCAGACCGGCTATGCTATTTATTTTGCCTTCTCTATCATACTTTTCTAAAGCCTTAATTCCATCAAATGTCTTGCAGACTATTCCCAGCATAGTCTCCAATCCCAAGTACTCTGAGAGAAGCCTTGTTTAAGGTCATATGAGAAAAGATGTCAGGAAAAAGAAGTTTGTAACTCACAGTAATTTTTATAAACCACTGTATTAATTAGCAATACAATTGGGATATTCATTTATTTCCACCAAAATGGTTGCATTTCAGCTCATATATCAGCAGAAACCCCTTTTCATCAGATTCAGGATGTAATTAAGGTTGTAAAGGATGAATTTGCATGTCTGAGGGTTATATTTGTGGTATTTGGTCATATAATCAGCAGGAAAAAGATACAACAAAGTTCCACGATGATCCTAATCATCATAGAGAATATATCAATGTGAGTAATAGACATTTCATTCAATAGACAAATGAAGGGTGCATCTCGAGTCATTCTATTCCTATGCCAAAAGGAAAATGGGTTAAGTGTGGAAAGGTACTGACCTACTAAGATTATCATTATCAACTCTAGCAAGGGTAGCCACAATACCTAGCACATCCTTTGTCCATGACAAATTTGATGCCTGCATTGCATGGTAAGATTTTACCTTGCACAATATACCAGCTGCGGATCTCTCTTGGTGTAATATCTGTTCTATTAATTTATCCTCGGGGTGAAGGGCACCATTTTCATTTGCTGCACCTGTGGAATGATACTTTCCAAGCCTCACTAAATAATGTGTTAGTAAGCCAAAGAATTGGCAGTGTCATCAATGAAATACATTCAAAACGAAGAAATTCCTGTTACAGGAGCTGTCGATTTAGTACAAGAATTCATTGGATGCCAACTTATTCATTAATACATAAATTTGGCTGCATAAAATACAAAGGCCAGTTGGATCATAAAAGCTGATTGCCATTCATATGATACAAAAGAACAAGAGGATACCTTGTAGATCAAGTATATACTCATCTAAATGATTTGCTTGCGACTTCAAAAATTTCAAGTTGTCTTCATGCCGTTTGATATCTTTTCTCAGGCTCTCAAAATTAACCTGAAGATCATTAAAACAAACGAATTGATATGGCTTGCGTGGCAAGTGACTACTTCTCAAGCCATTCAAACAGAGTACAATGGCGTATGCTTGATAAGGTTAAAGCAGATTAAAGAGAAAAAGAAAAAGTAACTGCATCAGTAGATATGGAACCAAATAACCCTTAAGAGTCCATCTTGGGATCCATGATGCAGATTATAAAACAGCGTCTCTCTTAAAAACTCAATTTAACAATGAACCTCTATATCTTTTACAGGAAAAAAGTAAAATATAGTATATTTGACACAGAAAAGACGCCAATTTTGGTTAAAAAAAAAAGAGCAATTGAGAGCAGAGAGAAGCAAAACAAGTGCTAACGAATAAATTCTTTCTTGAGGAATTTCATTTAATTCTTTCTTGTTACTCAAATACACTTGTTTCACCCTAGTGAATCTTCTTACACAACCAAGCAAACCTAAATTAGTTTCATACAACAACTTTCTCAAATTGATAAATCAATGCGTATAACAAGGAATCAGCAATAGAATCAAAAGCAAGGTAAGCTGAACTAAAGTGGACCCAAAACATTAACTTGCTAGTTCAAACTCCTTCGATAATCAAACAAACTAAATTCGAACAAATTTGAACTCGGTTTTTGTCAAGACGATTTATGCTTTGGAAAAAATTTAAGAAAAATCACTAAAAGGAATTTCCTACATGATCGCCAAGATAAAAAAATCACGTTATTAATGAAGTTTGGTTAAAATCATTGACATTTATTTAACTTGTGTGTGTGTGTGTGTTTTTTAATAATTGTCATCAGGGTGGAAACTAGGAAACATGAATGGTTTTTGAGGGATGAAAGAAGTGCTCATCTTATTTGTCAATATAAATATGGGAATTTCTCCCAACACTCTGGTCGCGATTTTCGCACTTGTTGGATGTCATGTCATATCCATAACTGATAAAAAAGAAAAGGATTGAGTGGAATCATTGTAGGCCCCCACGTATATTTACTACCGCTCAGCGGGATGTAATGGAGATTTTTCAACTTTTTGAATCTTGAAAAAAACCTAAACTATTTTTTCAATATCCTTTTGAACTCACAGAACCATGATAATTTTGAGAAGCATAATCCCATATAAACAACAAAAACTCAAAATCAACGTGGTTCTTACTAGCCCAGTCTATAACCGACAGTCTAGGACTATCTTCAAGCACACAAAAGAAACACATAATATTGTTTTTATTCGAGCATGTCATCTCACAAAAGCAGAGTGATTTCGTGAGATACAAAATCCCATATAAACCACACACCTACCCAACTCTCCGACGTGGGACATCCGGAAACCTAAAAAATATAGTATTTTGAATTTGATAACTCCAAGTTAAGTTCTAACGAAACATATATTCTGGTCGATTGCGGCAATCCCAACTTAAATGTTAGTTGATTCGACTCGGATCAATTGCAATCCCAAGAGAAACATGTGAGATAGGCAATGGTAAATGTTGCAGTTAACAAAAACAGAAAGGGTAAAAACATAACCTGACAGTTGGGTTGAAACATGCTGGAGCGGGCAGAGCTGCGTCTCTCCACCGCTGTCTGCAATGAATTCCCCCTTAAAAATCGATCTTTAATCAATAACCAAAACCAAGTGGGATCAGTTGGAACTACCTACAGGGATGACAATGGAACAAATATAAAATGAGTATCCTCTTTATACTCAATAAATACTCATTAAGGATGACAAATAAATATTGAAATAAATAAAGTTAAAAAAATACATATTTATTAATATAATTTTAGCTTATAAGTACTCACTTTTTATCCTATTAATACTCACTAATTTATTCGAATTTTTTTGTAACATTAAAAAAATCTAATTAAGGATCAAAATACTTTTTTCAAAAAATTCGAAGACCAAAAAACTTATAAATAAATGATAAAAAAAAGCTTAAAAAAAACTTTCTTAAAAATTAAAGGAACTAAAATAAATATTTTTGATAAATTAAATTTAGTAAGCATTTAATAAATATTAAATGAACGAGTAAACTAGAATGAACTCGAGTATAAATTGACTAAAGATTTATATATTGATTTCTTAATGGATAATGGGTAAGATAAAAAATTAAATTAATGGGTTAGGATACCTATCCATTGCTATCCCTAACTACAAATAACAACGGTAAGGGTTAATGGCTTTATTTTTATTTTTTAACATAATGGGCTGAATTTTTAATTTATTTTTATATTATAAATTGAATTTTAATGTGTTTTTACACCTTAAATTAAGCTTATTATATCCATATTATTTACATAAGTTTTCAATCTATATTTCTAATCATTTTTTCTACTCAAACCATCTTAAAATACCATATAACTCACACGTAAATGATAAACTTTTTGTTTTAATAAAAATACCCTTTTTAGCTTAACATATTAAGTATTTTATTTGTACTTATATAATGGATTGAGTTTCTAATCTATCATTGATACTAAATAATTCAATATATTATTGTTAATAATTTATGAGTTAATATGGTCACTTATCCTTATATAATAAGCTACTTTTTTAATTTGTGCATGTATTTTAAAATGCCTCCAACCTGTCTTTTTTATTTGTGTTGGTTTTTAATCTATTTTTATGGTTAAAATTTTCGACAATTCATCAAAAAATCAAATTTCATATTAATAGATATAGATCACTTGTGCCAAATAACAAAGATATTTTTATCAAATCACATACTATATGCAAATCACATGCTTAATTTCTCATGAATAGGCCAAAAATATAAATTAGAAACCAGCTCAAATAATAAGTACGGATGAAAGCATTTTAAAACGTAAAGATGGATTGAAAAAATTGTCTATTATGTAAAGATAGCTGAAGGTATTAACCCTATTTTTCTTAATAATGTATTGCATTATAGTGAATTTTTATTAATTAAAAACATAAAAAAAAAATTAGTACATGCTAGTATATAAATGTTTAAGAAATTATTATTTTAACATGTTTTTAATGTTAAAGAGCCTAATACATTATTATCGTTATAATAATTTATTAATGTATAATATTGAAAAAATTGATATAGTATTTACTAATATGTTAAATCATTTCTATAAAAGAAAACATGCGAATTGCGTGCAAAAATAACAAAATGATATAAATATCATTAATTAGATAAAAAAAAACTACATAATTATAATTTAAATGATTTTTAATTTGTCTCTTGAACATGTAATTAAAAAAAAATTGTGTAATTTAAATGATTGTTATTAAAGAAAACATGCTTATTACATGCTTAAAAGACTAATCAACAATCATTTAAATTAAAATTATTTAGTTTTTAATTGGTTTAAGGGTAAAGCTTACCTTCAAATTATTATGAGTTGACAATTTAAGGCTTTTTATTATAATTTGGGTTAATTAGACCCCAAACTGTTATTTTTTAAAAAATATCATTCTTATCTATTATCTTTAACGATCAAAGAGTAGATCGTCAACAATCAATCCTTTGACCGTTAACATTATAGTTTTTTTTTTAATTTTAAATAGTCAATTTAGTTAAAATATGATCTATATAAGATTACATAGTCGCTATTTTTTAGATTGGAAAAATATAACACTCATAAAAAACAATTAAAAGCACAAATAATCAAATAAAAATATAAAAATATATGCATTTAAATATAAAAAAATAGAAGTGCAAACCCTCGATTAGAAATAAAATAAAATATTCATACTTATGTGGTGGACATGTGAGCATGCTAATGTGTCAATTTAATTATTATGTCGGTATAAATTTAACATAAATACTTCATTGGAAAAAAAATGTACATTAACAATCTAGTTAAAACTAGATTTAAATATTTTACTTTATTTCTAATCCAATCAATTTGATGATAATGTGAGTATGAATTTAACATAAATACTTAATTAAAAAAATTAAAAATTTATATTAACAATCTAGTTAATACTAGATTTAAATATTTTATTGTATTTTAAATTTAGTCAATTTAAAAGTTATGTTAGAATGAATTTAATAGAAAAATTTTGTACTTTTATTTTTTTTATTTTAATATATGTAATTTTATTTTTGTCTATTTGATTGTGTGTACTTAAAAAAAAATTGATTTTTTTCTATTTGATTTCGTGTACTTTCAAAAAAAATATAGATGAGTGTTATTAATTTTAAAATCTAACGAATAATCACTACATAATCTTATATAGATAATACCTTGATTAAATTAACTAAACAAAGAAAAAAAACCTAGAATGTTAATAGTCAAAGGATTCACCATTAAAAATAACATGTAAGGATATATATATAAGGATTCACCATTAAAAATAACATGTAAGTATATATATATATATATATAAAGTAGTTTAAGGTCTAATTAATCCAAATTGATAGTAAAAATTCAAAATTACCAAATCATAATAGTTGTTAGCACCCAATTTTTTTTTTCAAAACAATAAAAAAAATAATGCAAAAAAAGAAAAAAAAAGAGAAAAAAGAAAAAGGGACTCGAAAAAAGATATTCAAGGGATGCAATTGAAAAAATGAAAAAAGCGATCAAAATGAAGCAAGTTTGTGAGATGAGGGACCAAGCCAACCTTAGCCCAAAAATCCCTAAATATAAAAAGCCCTTATGCCTTTTTTAGGACGACTACCGTTCACCCCTCCCAAAAGAAGCCATAGCCGTCGACTCTTCTCCCACACGGTAGCCTCCCACGACGAACCTTTTGCCCACTACCTCCCCTCTCCTACGGCAGCCTCTCGCCCACTGCCTCCCTATCTCTAGTAGCGGCTCTCCTCTCTTGCGGCCTCCGCCACGCCTCTTAGCTCACTCCCCCGCCACCACGCCCGCTGCACGGCACCAACAACGCGCACCCGGCTCCACGCCACCGGCAGCAATCTCGCCCCCGACTTGCACCACCCCATGCCACCGGCCACGCAGCGGCTCCATCGCGCGCACGCCTCCCTCGCCGGCAACCCTCGCCTTCCCAACGCCAGGCACGCAAACTTCTTACCATGCAACCTCCGCCGGCGCCAATGCCCGCCTCGCCCGGCCGGTATCGCCTCGCCTTTGCCCATGCGATAGCGCCTCCATTGGGGTTGAAAAGGATTTGAGCAAATCTCAAATCAACGAGTGATCCGCTTGTTTACGATAATTTGTTTTCACCTCGCTTTATTTCTTTTTTTTTACATATATTAAATCTGATTTGTATTAATATGTGTCTATAATTTATTTAATGATTGCATTTGTGTAATTAATTTAATCTGTTGTTCATTGTGTGTTTTATCTAAATTGTGGTGCGTGTACGAATTAATTTATGGCATTTGCGATAGTTGGGCAATGTGTTTACTCGATGTTTATTGTTGTTTGATATGTATATTTTTAAAATGCATTGGCACGAGTTTTGGGATTGGACCTCTTTTGGTCGGACATATGCACGTCGTGACAATTAATTTTGCACAATATCGATTTTTCTAGTCGAATTTTCTTTTTGTCGATTTCAACTCGATTTTCTCGCTTTCGTCAAATTTGGCCTAGTTGTCAATTTTTGCATTTTTCCGATTTAGGCCAAGTTGTCGATTTAGGCCTAGTCATCAATTTTTTCCTTTTGTCGATTTTCACCCAATCGTCGATTTTTGTCAACTTGCCAATTTTTATAAATTTTGCCTAATTGTCGATTCTCGTCAATTTTTGCAAACTTGTCAATTTTTACCTAATTGTCGATCCTTGTCGATCGGTCGATTTTTGCCAATTTACCAATTTTGATTATTTTGCCTAATTGCCTATTTGCTAATTTGTCAATTTTTACCTATGGTTGCCTAGATTGCCGAGTTGCATTTATTTTTGCCTCGATTGTAGATTTTTGCCGATGATTGCCTAGATTGTCTATTTTCATTCTTTTTTTTCCTAATTGTCGATCTTTTCCTTTGATTGCCTAAGTTGTCAACTTTTATTGTTTTTCTCTTACATTGCCGATTCTACCTATGATTGTCTAAATTGTCGAATTTTGCCTATGTTTGAATAAAATTGCTTGATTTTTTGCCTAATTGTCAATTTTTGTCTAAGCATCGATTTTTCGTTAATTTAGCCAAATTTATCATGATTTGTCCGCTTACCCATGTAGCCAAGTATGCCTATTTTTGCCTATTTTGTCAATTTTTATCCATTTAATTTTATCTATTTTTTCATCCTTGCATCTTTATTTTTAGCCATCCATTACGGAGTAAGGATGAGATCTCCGACCGATCAAGTCCCGAATCACTCGATTAGGGGAATGTTTTTATAAAAAATCGGAAATCGAATCAATATTGTATGCAATGC